AGATGCAGCCTTATTGTATGAATCAATAAATGAGGAAAATCAAAGTGCTGCTAACTTAACTGTGGCATAGATTTTATTGTCATCTGAAAGGGTTTTGCCACTTGAAAATTTCCTGTTAAACACACGGAAGCCGTTTGGATGTCTATACACATAGGTCGCACTCATGTGCGGCTCCTGACCATACAGACGAGGTCTAATCCTGTGAAATGATCTGATGACAATCCCATCTAGTTTTATGACAACTTGACACAAGCTGGAGTCACTTGAAAGGAGAGACCCTCAACTGAGAAAATGTTTCCTTAAGATTTAGCAGTAGGACATTCTCTTAATTGATTGTGGGGGAGGGCCCAGCCTGTTGTGGGTGTGCTGTCCCTGGGTTGGTGGTCCTGGGTTGAGAAGAATGCAGGCTGAGCAAGCCATGATGAGCAAGCCAGTAAGCAACATTTCCTCCCTTGCCTCTGCTTCAGCTCCTCTATTCAGGTTCCTGGCTTGTTTGAATTCTTATTCTGACTTCCTTTCATGATGCATAATGATGTGAAAGTTTAAGTTGAATTAATCCTTTCTTTCCCAAGTTTCTTTGGTTGTGGTGTTTCATCACAGCAATAGTAACGCTGCCTAAGGCTATGACCCTGGGTTCCCACCTACAGTCACAGTCCTCTGGACTGTGTCTCTGTTAGCAGGACTGATGTCTGTATTTCTTCCACATGGTGAACTCAGTCTTACCTGCAGTTGAGAGCTTTGGTGGCAATGTATCACTTTTTTAAAAAAAAGATTTATTTATTATTCACTATTATTTACACACTTTTCAGCCTCCATGTGTGCCTACAGGCCAGAGGAGGGCGCCAGATCTCATTACAGATGGTTGTGAGCCGCCATGTGGTTGCTGGGAATTGAATTCAGGACCTCTGGAAGAGCAGTCAGTGCTTTTAACCTCTGAGCCTTCTCTCCAGCCCTGATGTATCACCTTTTACAAATGCGTTTTGGCATTGTTTCCAGAAAATTTTCCCGAGCTAGTTATGCCCTGTGAGTTTTGAGGCAGCAATGACAAACTATATCATGATTGTCACTGATCGATCCAAGACCCTGGTGTGCAATAGTCTCAGAGATGTTAAACGGAAAACAAAACAAAACATTTGAGCATTTGAATTGATGAAACACGCTAGGATGTCTCTTCAGTCCTAGTCTCCCAAGGTCTGTCCTTCACAGACTTCATACTAGATGGAGCTTTTCACATAGATGCAACAACAGCTACATGTTGCGGGCTTCCATGGTCTGGGAGAATATGATTCATAAATTACAGAAACAGGACCTCAGGTCTCTGAACTCCAAAACCTCATTGATGGTTTCATGAAAGGAAATTCGGTTAATCTTGCATGAAAACACCCAGCAATCTGTTGGGTTAGCCCTATGGGGCCTGATTCTCCTCGTTGACTTGTGCTGAGTGAAGTTGCCTGGATGTCAGCTGTGGTCTCCACCCTGTAAAGCTGTAACATCTGTGCCAAGAGGGGCAGGCTTCTGATGTTCCCTCAACTGCAAATCACAGATGGAGCTTTTGTGAAGAGATAGTAAAAATGGTTCTATCATTGTCACATTTTGTTTTCTGGTTTCTAAAGCAGCAAGGTGTATTTCCAGTTCATCGAGTTTGCCCACCTTCATCTGTAACACCTCCAGCCTTTGGGCTTCAAACCAGCTGAACTTTAGAAAAGAGATAGGTTTCATGATAACATTTCTGAAATTTCCCAGACTCTCTTTCTTAATCCCTCACCAGGAAAAATAATGTATAATATAGTCCCTGCTCTCTGCTCACTGAAGCATCTGTTATCTACAAACCAGTAGTGACTCCTGTGAGTATTAATTTATGCAAAATACATAAGCACTGAAGATATAGGGGCCCATGTCCTAATGTGCTGGTTTAATGCAATGGTAATGGACCTTTCTTAATTAACAAACAATCTCTTTTCTCTGTAATGAATTTAAGATTCCCAATATCTTGAAAGTGAGCATTTTCTCAAACGTACTTTGTGAATATTTTCACATTCTCGTAGTCAACATAAATGGTCAGTGACTGGTACTGTTTCTAGCATGACTGGCAGAATCATTCTGGAGAGATTCCCTATGCAAAAAAGAAGATCTGAACCAATTAAGACAAATTATAGTAGTATACATGTATAAAGGCTTTGGAATGTGTGTCAAATTATTTTTGATCCCAATGGGTCACACAAATCTATCTTGGTGATTTGCGGCCCTCACCCTCTTTGCTGCATAACTGTTGTTTTGGGACTGTTGAATGGACAACGTCTTTTTCTGGCAAGATATGTCTTTCCCAATAAGGAAACTCATAATTTCTATCCATTATGCTTTTTTTTTAGAGAAACTTTGTTCTTACTGACCTCTTTTGGGTACCTCTCATTCATCTGTTCTTAAAAAAAAATCCTTCTCATTTATTTGTAAGGTCAAAACTGCAATCCTAACAGAGGAGCAAAAGTACCTTTAGCTTCCTAAACGAGGAAAGGGTTATTTTTTCCTGGCTTGCTGCCTCTCTGATGTGCCTCTCATTGCCAGTTCTAACCTCAGACAGTGGGATCAGCAGGCCCTGTTACCTTGGCAACGCTGATAGGTTAATAGAATTAGAACGTCTCAGGGCATCATTCTAGCTTCATGCTCTTGGATGAAAGGAAAACAAGGCAATTGCGAAATATAATTTGTAACAACCTAGTTTCTGGTAGCTATTCTTTTTAGATTTGTGTCATTTACTGGTACAAGGTATCGAAAGTTAGTATTTAAAAACATGCCAGCCATAAAAATAACACAAGATGTCTGTATTAAGTTGGAGATTTCTGTTATGTTAGTTTATTAATAGGATACTCTCTAAGGTAGTCTTGTACTTCAAAAGGTTGAAAATTCTACACTTTCTCTGAGGCCATTCTAAGCTCAGTAGTGAAAGGACGCACTAAGGACTTGGCCTCCCCAGATTCCACACTCGGAACTCGCTTTTGTTTCAATTTGGAAAACTGCTTTTTATTCCCATGTTAGTTGTCTGTTATGTAAGTGTTGGAGATAATGATAAAGGATGAAGGTTTGTGTGGCTCATAGCTTTTGAGGTTCTAGCTCGTGATTGGTACAGTGACCAACTTCTAGTTTTTCACACACTTTGAAACTCCTAATTTTGTTAGACTCCAGCATAACCCCTTCTCTTCCTAAAGTCTCATCAGTTTTACCTGATCTACAGGAGAATTCTTTCCTACATCCTTTCAAGTTGTATCTACTTTTTTATTCTTTGTAATTCGTCTTACATTTTTTATTTTGTTCTTATTTCTATGTTATATAAGCTTAATCTCAAACTGGTATCGTGTCTATTATATTCACAGGTTCATAGTACAGTTCTCAGACCACATGAGAGCAGATATTTTTGCATGCAGTGGGTGGTAGTTAGAGTAGAAACCCACAGCAGGTCAAAGAGCAGAGAATAAGTGACCGTGGGGTGCTCAGGCCCATAGCGCACGTCTATACCATGCCCTCTGCAAGGCTCAGGGACCTTGGCAGAAAAGGGAGGAGAAAGATGACAGGAGCTGGAGGACGGAGAGGACGGCAGCAAAGCAGTGGCTTTGGGCATGGCAGGACTACTGGACTCAAGAACTCATAGTGGCTGTTGCTGCTGGACACTACCTGGACATGACCAAACCAGTATGGGAAGGGGTCATATGCCCAACGATTTCTTGAAATTGCAGACAGAAGACTCTCTGTCTTAACTGCTCTGGACCATAAGGGGTTAATAACTCTGTTCATTTCTTATTGACCAAAGATGGCAGTTGGTTACTCTTGTCCTTAAAAGCAAAAAGCCAAGCTGTCCAGTTTTGTTTGCGTTGGACCACCTCCATGTTACACACTGCAAAACGCAAAAAAACTTCAATGTGTCTGGTGAGACTTTTGTCTTCAATTTTTTCTATTGAGTATTTTCTTAATTTTGAAAAACAATATCAACAAAGATCGTAGATTAAAACATAAACAATTGACCATAAAATGCACTGTGGGTTAGTTGATTCCCCTCTTTTCGAGGTATTCAGTTAGCTTACCACACTCACTAGCAACATTTCAACACAATCTTACAACTTAAAAAGCTTCTTGGATGTTTGCCAAAGTGATAGAAAACACACCAGGCAGGTGCAGAGGGCCTTCTCTATGCAGGAGTGACTGGATGGAGCATCTATCAGTGCCCATCGCCTGGATGGCTGTTGCTGATCTGGCTAGCTTGGAGGATTTTCCGTTCTTCCTTCATCATTCCACATCTCCTTTCCAAACCCCTCCCTGTGTCGAGGAGAACACTCCCTCCTAGCAGAAGTAGGAAGGTGACCGACCTGAAGTTCTTTCTTTCATAGTGTGAAAGCTTGCCTTTCGAAGAGTACTACCAAGAACATGCCGAAAATCTGCCTATGCAATGGTATTGCAGTCTCATCAGCTACTAAACTAGAATTAACCCTGCAGGTTTATGCAGGCGTGGAGCACACTCGCCGTCCCTTTGAAAGATTGCCTGGAGAGAGTGGGAGAAGAAACTGGCACTTAGGGATGAGGGGGGCACCTGTGTCCCACACATTTGATTCTACGTTTTATTTCAGACCTCCATTCTAGACAGTAACCTGTAGTTTCTGCTAAGATCATTTCGACACCCATCATTTGCTTTGACCTTCAAGCCCCTTACGTCCTTGTGGCATGCTTCCTGTCTGTCTCATCTCAGGCCACTTTCTTGCACTTGTTCTGTCAGAGCCCACCCTGCATGTTTAATATTTAAGGTCTGGGATCGTTTTGCAGGTTTTAGTTTAATGGTAACCATAGCACACATGCACATGCATTATTGATAGCCAAGGCACACCACACGTCCTTGGGCATCCTCTTTTCTTTCACTCTTTGTGCCACGGGAGGGCTGCCGTCTTTGGAAGTCAGCTCTGCTGTTGCTGTGGCCAAGGGAGGAACTGACAGCAGATCCAGAATGGTGTAAACTGTGCATGTGGGTGGACGAGACCATGCTAAAAAGAGAGACAAAGGCAGAAAGTGACAGGCCGCGGAAAGTCCGGTTTCGGATTGCCTCGTCTCATAGCGGCAGAGTACTGAAAGAAGTCTATGAAGATGGACAACCCCCGGGCTCTCTGGATTCTGAATGTGCCAGTGTCTGTGGACTAGATGGACTCAGAGACTCTGAGGGACAGCAAAACGGCCACATTGGACCAGAAGATAGTGAACATGAGAAAGATCAGGATGACTTGCTGGTATTAGCCAGGACAGCCAGTGAGAAGACGTTTGGAACGAGACGAGTCAACATTTTAAGCAAAAATGGTACAGTGAGAGGCGTCAAATACAAAGTGAGTGCTGGCCAAGCTCTGTTTAACAATTTGACCAAAGTGTTACAGGTAAGTCATTGCACTTTTCCGCTCTGAGCTTTGTTCCTCACTCACACTCTCCACCTCTCTCCGTTCTCCAGGATAGCATCTCACTCCTCCAACTTCATGGGGCTCTCTCCATCTAAGACCCTGTGTGCACAGATGCCCACGGCTCATTGTTCTTGGCAAACTACATCGGCCTTCTCATAACCAAATTTCTGACCTGTACGTCATCTCCTCTGATTGTGAAAACTAGCACAGAATCCATTCCTTAACAAAGAAAGAAGATGGCAAACTAGAGTGCTTAAAGCATTTCTTCAATGCCTAGAAGTTAATTCCTTTCTGGCCTATCCTTAAATCAGCATCCTTTGCGGCTTACATTGATAACTACACCAGAAAAGCAGAATGCTCTCGCGTTTGGTGTAATGTGTTCAGTAGTGCAGTTATAAAGACCAATGGGTCTTCCTCCCATTTTCAAGGATGGTGTACTCTTTTTGAAGTCCATTTCTCCTTAATTTGCTTTCAATGGCTTTAGAGCAGTACTTGAAAAAGCTTTAAAAATACAGAGATTTAGACTTCATAGGAAATAAGCTTAAGAAGTGCTAGGTTCTGCACCCGAACATAGGTATGTGTTATTTAGATCTGATGCCTTTGACAATGATCTAATGCTCAGGAAAACGTTTCCAATTTCCTGGAAGTGTTAGTAGGATTATCTTTCTGAGGTTGTTTAAAATATCAACCCAGGAATAGTGTTCATAATCACTGTGATTACAGCGGCAACTCACCTCTTTCACTGCAATTGCATTTTCTATTATTTTTGATCCCTAAGCAAAATGACCTCTTGTAATAAACTATTCCATGCTTCTATATTCTATAAAGAAACAGGGATGATAGAGAGAAAGAGTTTCAAACCAAATGTCACTGCAATATATTTTATTTCAAAGGAAGTTTGTGCAAAGATCAAATCATGAGAATCTAAAGAAGCAAATTTAGATCTTACCCAAAGAAAAAAGAGCAGCAAAGAGTGGTGGTTTTTTACATATGTAGAACGCATTCATGAATGATTTAGTGGGTTAAGGATGAGAGTCAAAATCAGAGACTGATAATTATGCTTCATGAGATAGGGAATGGTCTCACAGAAATTTGTAGAGATGTGACTTCTGGGTTAAAGAAAACCTTACAGGAATGAGTTTGCCTCGTTATAAACACTTTTACTGTCAGGCTCGAGACCAAGCTTCTATATGGCAATACGCTCTACATGTGTACATTCCCGGTGGTTAATCAGTTTCTTATTATTTGAATTGCTTTATGGCTGAAGGTTTTATCACAAAACTGTTATTTTAGTTTTATTACTTTGACTTGTACTTGTTTACCAACCTCTCAAAAATACTGACACTTAAGAATAAACGCCACAAACTCCAAAACCTACAAGGGAAACTCTAGCTTTCTTCTTCTGTTTTCACCCAATAGTGCTACAAATGTACAATCGAGCATCAAAGGAAACTTCCAAGTCAAAACTCTGCCACTTAAATAATTACTTGCATAGTTTTCTTTGCATGACTTGGTAAACAATTTTGTGAGCACAAATTCAGTACAACTTTTTTTGATGATCTCGTCTACTCCAAGTGTTGAAACAATCAGCATTTGCAATCACAAAGTTTTGACATTATCTTTAGTTTCATCATAATTACCATTACTATAAAATGAATGCTATTTGATCTCTCCAGGGAGAAGCATAGGTTAAAGGGTCTGTGACTTTGGACCAAGGCTGTCATTTTCCCTACTGTAAGAACAGTAGCTCTATGCAATAGGAGCAAAAAAGACATTTGGGGCATTATATAGAGAACAGATTTGAGTCCGTGCTACTTCATAAAGAATGTGCACATCATAAATGGTACCCTATGTCTTGCCTGGGATGCCCGAGATGAGTAGGTTTCCATAGGTATCACTTCTTGGATCTGCCCTTTTCCATAACTTTAGCAAACTGTGCAACAAACTTACCTGAATGTCACCATAACTTAGTGATTTAGTTCAGGGAGGAAGGAAAAAGTGAACAACCAGTTTCTCGGACATCTGGTTCAGGTTTTGATATAAAGCTCCTCTCAATGAACAAGGAACCATGATTGAAGAAACAGTTAGACCTTTCTTCCTGTTTCAGGTTATAAAATCTTAAAGCACTCAGTTTGAAACTTGAGGGGAAGTGCTAAATAAAGATAAAGGCATCCAGTGTGCACGTGAGATGCTTGGCTTCCTCTCTGTTATTTCCTTGCTTAGTTACTGCTTTGTCAAAAACTATTGGCTCCACTTCCAAAAATTTCAACTATACAGAGACGAGTTGATTAAATGATTCTTTCAATCATTTTTACTTCTTGGTGGTACTTATTTAGACTCTCAAGTGGATAGCTAGCTGAACTAGTTTCTATTCTGTCTCTTAGTTTACACCACAGAAACCAGACAATGGATGCACAGTATTATTGGGGTGATGGTTGTAGTGACAAGAAGTGAGGAGACTGTGGTCAGTCACCTGGTGGCCCACTGGGCTTGGAAGAGAAGTGGAGCTCAGATACATTAGTCAGGGATCTCCAGTTGGTCTGGATTATAAGTCTTCAAAGGCAGAGGCTGGTTTTTGTTTCACCGCTGCCACAGGTATCCAGAAGGCAATGCTGAAGAGAGGCGAGTCCGGACATCTGAAAGCCTCAAATCTAGTTTGAGCATGGAAATGTGTATTGATTAGAATCTCTTAAGCAAAAACTTGGAATTTGCTTCTGTTAGAAGCTTTTTAGTTTATTCTCACACACATCAAGGTGTGAAGATAACTCAACAGCTGTGCAGATGGCGAATTTACCTGGGTAGTGTAAAATAGGAGTCCTTCCCATTGCCTACCCTGTCAATATTTAATGGGGAAAAATGAAGGAGACTTGCATCGAGGTGAGATTCTGATCAGGTTGGGTTACTGGGAAGATCTCCTGGAGTTGAAGAGGAGCCATGTTTCCTATCAAAGCTAAGCTCATCAATTGGTCAATTGAGACAGGCCCACAGGTGTTACCAATGCTGTCTAAGGTGGATGACCTCTGTAGCACTAGCAAGTCTACTCTAAGGGTATTTTTCTACCTACTAATATGAATCAAATCCAGATTACTGGAATAATTTACAATACCTACAGTACTTATTTTTCCTCTTTTCCTTCACCCTCAGTGCTAGTCAGTAATCACATGCAAAGCAAATTATAAGGGTTCTGGGTGGCTCACAGCTCTTATGGTCCAGTTGGCAGGATGAAATTGAGGTACTCTTTGTTCTTAGCAGCAACATTAAATAAAGTGTCTTAGTGTGGACTGGTGATGCAGATAATCAATGTTGTTTAGTCTTGCCAATATATTGTCATGAATCTATAGTTTAGATGGTTTTCATTCCTTGACCTTCTCCTCAAACTATGTTAGGATATTCTTGTAGAATATACCTTTTTAGTTTCCATAATTTTAACAACTTCTTGTTCAAATGTAAAATTATCAAAGAAAAATGAATCCAAAGAAGGACCTTGAATACATAGATTATGTTTGTATGCATACATGCATATCTCTTGTTATGGTAGTTGCACCTAGGATTGATTTAATGTGTTAAGACAAAAAAGTGATATGTTGGCATAGTAATTTGCATCATGCACAGAACTTTCTTGTGTATTATTTTTTACCTAAAACTCTAATGAAAGAAGCAAAGAGACTTTTGTTATGTCCCTGGTGATAATTAGAAAAATTCATTCTTACTTTTTCATAACTTTTGACAATTATTCTTACAATACATGCAATCCATACTCTTTGATAATGTTTTTAGTGTTATAGATAAAGTATCTGGTTCAAAGCTAATAATACATGAATTCTAACATTTCTTCTTTTAAAAGTATATCAAATACAAAAATGTCCAAATTTACCTTTTAAAATTTAATAATGATGAACATAAATATTTATAAGACTAAATATATCATGTTATGATATCATCTAATCTTTTAAAATTTCATCATTTGTGAGGTTTTAAATTTTACTATTGGTTTAATATTTGGTTTTCAGCTGGGGAGGTCTGAAGAAATAGACAGTATTTATTCAGCTTTAACAGTTTTTTAAAAAATTATCACAGACATCATTTCCAATTGATTAAGTAGTCATGAGATTGCAATCTGACTCTCTTGGTTGGACAGTGGTGGTGTACACCTTTAATCCCAGCACTTGGGAGAGGCAGGAGAATCTCTGTGAGTTCAAGGCCAGCTTGGTTTATGTGAACTAGTTCCATGACCGGCTCCAAAGCTACAGAGAAACCCTCTCTTGAGAAACAAACAAGCAAGTAAGCAAACAAACAAACAAACAAACAAAGCCTGACTCTCAGACTTGTCCACTGAGTCAGGATGGATGATAGTGATAGAAGTTGCTGGAAGACTTTTATCTATCTTTGGTTCATAGAGTATAGGTCTGGTAATATTCTATTGTTCCCTGGAATACTCTTCATGAGTTGTGACCTTGCTCTCTTACTTGAAGAATTCTGTAAGGCAACAACAAGCATTCTGAGGGCTGAATAAGTAATGCCTCAACACCAGACAGTATTCCTATTATATATGTGTACTAACATATTAATTTCTCACAGGAATCTTAGTATTGGTATTAACAAATTAGTTATTGTGAAGCTCTTTTTCTATATGAGAAAAAATTAATTTGTAGAATTTAAAAGTCATTTGTCTATAAAAAATGCTAGAGACAACTTGCATGGATGTATTGCCTTCTTAGTTATCAGGAATTAGGCATGAACCTTAAGGATATCTGATATGATCTCGAATATTGTAGACAACTACTCTAGGCACACTATTTTATTTTACTTTTATTTTTTTAAAGAAAGCAAACTATCTTTTTCATTTTATTCATATATTTTTTTCATTATACATACTAATCGAATTTTCGCTTCCTCTCCTCCTCCCATTCCCTCCACTTACCCCCCACCACATCCCCCCCATCCATCCACAGGGAAGGTAAGGCACATTGCCTTGGGGA